TGGCCTTTACCAAGCATGGCCTCCTAATAATCCCCATCTATGAACTGGCTTCTTAACTCTGTTCTCCTCCCCACTGATAGCTGATGTGTGGTGAGTGTTCTGGTGCACTATGGCTGCCATTGCATCATCCAGGTGGGGCTGCACATTGGTGGTGGTGAAGGGGAGTCCTCATTACCTGTAAAGCACTTTGAGCAGAGTGTCCAGAAAAGTGCTATATAATAAATAATAATTATTATAATTATTATTATACTGTAGAACAGCCAAGGTCACTCAGGTTTATCAGTCAGTCATGGACAACTAATGATCACAATTAAGCCAAAACATTTAATTTATACAATCCATATACTTGATGTTTTGAAAACCATATCTATATATAGATATAGTGATAGGTTTTTCATTTAATGTAATGTATGGTTCATTGTACATAATTCTGGCAGCAGAAATGCACATCATTGTCTGCATCTTGCATGACTACAATTTATGATGCTTGCAAACATCATGGTGTGTTTTAACAAACCTACCAGTACCTTACATACAGGAATTAAACTAATAGTAAAGTTCTTATATATAGATATATATTTATAAATAGAAATCCACCTGAAAGAGTATAAAAATGCCAGTAATATTATGCTTTAGTAGATAAGTCTCTTGGAAGTTGTTAGTCTCGCAGGAACACTGAAAAAACGTGGGAGTTTAGAAATAGCTTTAGGTGCCAGATTCACACAAATGCTCTAGATATGTCAATGGCTAATCTCCTATTTTTCAATACAAAAAGAGAGGCAACATGTTTACTCACCTCTCACACACACCAACAAACTGAAGGGAAGACATTTACCAGGATAGTAACATTATGTAATCTGTATTTTTTTTAACTGTTATCTTCTGCATTCACCTGAAATGTTGGGCGAGTTCTCACAGTTCTGAATCTCGCACTCCTTGGTAAACATGAACTTTACTCTAAAAGATCTTCCGCCAAAGATTTTTTGTTCTAAATAAATTATTCTTGGCTTTTACTTTCATAGTCTGCAGCTAAAGTCAGCCAAGGGCTACCTAGGTTGGGTACAAAGTGGTGAACGAGGGTTGTTTTTTGTTTAACCCAAGACTCAGGGATATACTGTAAGATTGGAGCCACATTTTGCTTGACACGTACATTTTAATACCCCACCTACAGCTAAAACCTGTGAATACTGTGCAATATAAATGTCGAAATATTTCATATATTTTACATTGTAGAGAAGTGATACTGTATATATAACAGCTGTTTGTTATACAGACATGGTTGTCTCATTAATAGTTGCAGAGGGAAATACAAACTACCCAGTATCTACCCAACATCAACATCAACACAAAAATGTGTTCTTTAACAGTTGGAAGAGAAGTAGCCTAGGACAGGATAAATATGGTTTGAACATATTCTGCCTGAAGCACTAAATGGATTCAACCAATGAGTAAGTAAATCAAAGCAGGAAAGCAGTGGCCCTAATAATCAAATAAATAGATTAAGAACAATATTAAGAGAAATAAAGCACCTTATAGAGTTTGCAAACAGAGCAGGATCAAATTAATGAAATTCTGTACAATGCACTCTACTGAATAAAAAAAGGATAAAAAGCTAAGAATGACAAAGAAAGACATTTTGCAATTGAAATATTTTTTTTTTCAGTATTACAACAGTAACAGATGAAACAAAGTGTCTAAAGAGATAAAAAGGGAACTGCTTAAATTATAGAAGGAAAATGACTGATGTTTTACATGAATAAAGCTGAGCAAACATAAATTTGATATTGAAGACTATTAGCACAGAAAAGGCAGTGTTTATTAGACGCTCTTAATAAAAGCAAATCTCCAGGGTCTACTAGTGTTACGTCCCAGTGTGTGTTCTGTGTGTTTTTTCTGTTATGTCCACACTGGTGACCCTTGATTGTTCTCCCTTCCCCATTGGCCCACCATTACACCACACTTTCAGTATGACATCATCATCAATTAGCTCTCAGCCAATTAGAACACATCTTATTCAGCATATAACATGGAGGTTTTCAGCAAAGAGAGGCCTTTTGTTTGACTTCGGTCCCGTTTGGTTTTGATTATCGCTTCGCTTCGGGTTATTGCTTCGGCTTTGCTTTATGTGTGTGTATTTTCGTATAGCTTCGGCTTTGTTGTTTGGTTGGTTTTACGCTAGTGTACTTTCATATGTTTGTGTGTTCATCCTTGTTTTGCCATTACCTTGCCCCAGTGTTACATGTTCAACTTTTGTGTTCTTTTGTACCCTGCTCCTGTTGATTACTCTTGTTTTCCCTTATTTGTATTCCTGGTTCACTTGTTTTTGTGTGAACTTTTGTATATAAGGTTAGTTTAGGTTGTTGGGTACACTTTACACACTTAGTTGACTTTGTATTGGTACACTACTTTAGTACGGGTGAGTGCTGTTTGTCTTGTATGGTTTTGGGTAGTCAGTGCAGGTTAGCTAGGGTGTTAAAGATGCCGGAGAGCGTGTGTTTCGGGTTTTCTTTTGTAGTCAGATTAGCTTTCCCTCACTGTCCTAGCCAGCTCCATTTTGTTTATTTTCTTTTCTTTGGCACCACTCTAGTTCCTTACCCTTATCACGCTCCCTAGTCCCTTACCAAAACCCACCTGCTTCCAAAAGAATTATCCTAAATGTTACATCCCTTTACCCCTAGACACTTGGGGTCGTAACAACTAGTATTCTAACAATTGTACTTAAGGACACAATCTCTATTATTACTAGGAAATTAACGATCACTAGAATAGAATAGAATCTCTATGGAATTATGATCCTTAAAAATACTAAGCATGGATTCAGAAATGGTAGATATCGTTCGGAAATGTTAAAGAAAATTTAAAGTTGTTTAACAAGTCAACAATAGTAATGGATAAAAATAGACTGTAATTCTGTATAATTTATATAGAGATTTTTTTCTAAAGAATTTTTTAATTTTAGGCAGCATCTAGTACCCTCGCTCTAGTACCCTTTCCTGTGTGTTATTGTGTCCTGATACATACCAGTCACTTATTCACTTTCAAATCACTTTTGCACCAAAACTTGTCACGCTTCCCAAGTCCCTCACCAGAAACCCACCTGCATCCAAAACCATCCTAAATGTTACACCCCTTTACCCCTAGACACCTGGGGTCGTAACAAACAATGTGCATGAAAATGAAAAAAACAGATGGACATTTAGGATAAAAACAGGAAATATGCATTTTATTTTAAACGCAAATGTGGATAAACCAAAGCTTGTTTACCCATCCACTCTCCACTGATACTTCTATAGCAAGAAAGTCTTTATTTGGAAAAAATGCTGCAAAAATGAAAAACTAACCTACGGGATTTACACTGAAACAATTTATTAACTATTTTTTTATTTGCTTCTGCTTTGTGTCATGCCTGTCTGTTTTATTGTTTTGCCAGTGTATAATCCTAAATTCCACCTGTTTTCTCATTAAACATTATGTCAGTTTTGGACTCTGTAATTTTACACAGTTTTAGTAACAGAGCTGAATGTAAGTAGCCTTTTACAGATATTACATACAAATATACAATAAAACCCACTAATGATGTACTAATTGCAATAACTAGAGTCAAACCCTTTCAGCATTTAAAATAAATTATTGTGATCAAGTTCACTGAGGTTAACTAATACTGTTACCATGACATGGAACACTGACTTAGACCTTCTCCCTCTCTGAATTCATCATCTTCACTGAGACACCTCCTAGGTTTTGTTCATAAAGTGGCCGATCTTTCTTTCTTCATATGATGAAAGAATATGGACTACAGAAGGGTAGCTGAGCTCAGTTCAGATAACATAAATTGAATTTTCCAGTTAAGTCTCCTTTTACTTGTGATAACTTAATTTCTGCAGAACATCCTAGATGCAGACAGTTCAGGCATCATATTTAGGGAATACAAATGACAGAACTAGGGAATGAGATTGATCTGAGGACCAGACCAGCGGTCTGCAATCTTTTTTCCTGCACTCACAAAGTAAGCGAAAGAGTGACGTCGCACAGAGTGCAAAGCCAACCCAAGGCTCACTGCCTTCACTGACTCTACAACAGGTAACTGTGAATAAAAGCACAATGTCACTTTTTGATTCATTTATTTTTTTATTGCGCTTAAATCTTCAGCGATGAGTGTAAATCCTGCACGAGAACATGATCTTAAATTCTATTTTAATTTATTGAAAATGAGAATACGAACCAATCCTATAGATCAGAACCCTGCTGCCGCTTGCGTCTCTTGACCTCAGAACTCCATGGTAATTATTTCGGAGGAGACCCAGGACTGACGATGGATGTAAATTGGCACTTATTTCAGGACACTCATTTCTCCACTTGTGGTAGTTGATCAGTAACTGTGGAGAGAGTGCACAAGGACACACTACTGAATCATTGACCACAAAGCAACTAAAACATTCCAAAAAATGTTGTCCTACTTATGTCCCCATTATGGGATTATGTAATGAGCAAGCAAAGGTCAAAACATGTCTGCATCGCATCACTGCCAGTTTAATGTTTTGAAACAAGTGGAAAGCAACATTTTAGAGCGATCAACATGTTGATAAACACAACTAGCATATCAATTCATCACAGATGGATTAATACCCACCACCAATTCATAAGTTATTCACTAATCAATTAAGCGAAACAGTTTTTTTTATATTTAAATCTCTTCACAATTATCCCCGCAATTAGTCGTATTTCTAGTGAATTACCTAATTTATACAATATGTGGAAACTTACTGTACTTTGACAACTTTGAAGTTGTCAAAATAGAAGAAAGAGATAGGTTACAGCATATATTAGATTATGTACAAGTATCATTTTATCAAGTGTATAAACCTTTAGCAATTGCACATTACCTTGTTGTGGATTTCTGTGTAAAACTTTTTTTTTATTTTTTCTTTCTTATCACTTTGCATCTACCGCACACTGTAAATCTGATCATTTTCTCTCACTGAGTAGGAAAAAAGATTTATCACCCAGTGAGCATTCAGGAGCCATGATAATGACAACAAATACAGCCTGCTTAGAGGCAACTGCAATTTTCGAAAGACACAAAGTCACAGATAAATAGACTGGATTTTCCATTTGAGACAAATGCTCTTCAGGCCAGAGCTTATCCTGGTTTTATAGATTTGAAACACTCAGAGAATTGTCAACAGCAATACTGGTCCCCATTCTTGAATCTAGAAAAACTGGAGCAACTGAGGTACAGTCCCTCTCTCAAGGTAGAATAGTGGGGTCTGCATCAGGGCTTGAACCCACAACTCCAACGCTTAAAATTAAAAATAAACAGAGTTTAACTACAGGAAATTGATTCCAGTTGTCAGATCACGTATACACATACCTAAGCTTTGTGCAACAACCTGAAACTTTCAGGTACCATAAATAATATTATTGCTAAACATACGCCATTCTAATCTGCAAGCGACCAGAATACAGAATACGAATTTTTGTATAAAAATGCATTAAGTCCTGTTCTACACCTGCATGCTTTGGAAGCACTGGCCTACCTGTACCTTCTGAACCCACGTAATTAGAGCCAGTAAACAATTACGGTAGCTAATGAGTGCTGACGTAAACACCTGAATTAACCTGTCTTGTATGAGAAAAACAGATTTTACAAGACATGAACTGCCAGGATGTATTCTCATTCAACGCTGTAGTAATTTCTTTGTCGTGAACGGATTAATCGTGTTACATTCCAATGCAGCATTACATACTGTAGGCTCTGCACTCCGATTATTTTATTTCAATAACTTCTGGTTGCATAAACGATCTTTACGTTCGGGTCATGCATCCTACCTGTAGCTGAACAATCTGTAGCTGATACACAATATGTTTGCACAAAGCAACATCATGAACAGGCGAAAAAATAACTAATGAACAGTACACTGAAATTATTTCGTTTCGTGAGCTCCAGTACTATTCAATTTAGGTGGTTTACTTAATATGCAGTTTTCATGTTCGTAAAGTAGTTCATAAGCAGTTCAAAAAAAGAACAGAAAGTATTTGAAAACGCTAGTCATTTTATATTTTTGAAGACGCACCTCTGTCAGCAGACAGTCTACGGCAGCCTGCTTACCAGAGAGGCAGGGGACGTTTATATAATAATTAAAAAAGCAGACTCTAAAACCAGTTCTACTCGCGATTGTGACAAGAGTTAGGAGTCGGAGCTAGGAGTTGATTGACGGCTATTCCGTCTCTTGAGATAATTACAAAAACATTTACAGAGGCGAATATTGCGTTGTCTTATAGTAATAAAATAATAAAACGGAAGACAAATATTGGAAATAAAATACAACCTGCAAACCTCAATACTTTGTGAATTACAAATATCCTAAATATCAAAATAATAATTTACACTGTAATAATTCAGTTTTCTGTGCAAGACTGTGGCGCTATAACATTGTGAACTGAACTTGGTACAGTACGTACTGAAGTCGTCCACTGCCACGCCGAAGATTTTACTGCTTCATTGAAATAAAAAAAGCCTTTGTTTAAAACAACTTAACCAAAATTCACATTTTTACCGTTCTTAATTTAATAAAATACCTGCACGTGTACACTTATCTATTTTATAACCCCACAATGCTTCTTTTTTGTAACTCTAAACGCATATTTTAACACATTTTTTCCAATGAAATCGGTTTTACATTCATTTAAGAATCAACTCACGCGCGTGTCTTCTGCAGCAACAAATATGCGGCAATAATTTGGATCCTGGCTGTGAAAACTAAGTTTTACTTTGCGTCTTCCACAGGAGTAGGCAGACGTCTACTCGTACCATAATAACATATAAGTACACAAGATACGAACGTAAAAAAAATCATATATAGCATACTGTAAACAACTTTTAAACTTGTAAACAACTCCAGAACTCCATACCTTCAGCGACTGGTCAACATCAAAATCTCTGGCACGTAGAAACTTCATTAAGAAGGTGTCCGATAAGTCCATCTGATAGCGCTTGTCGCCTTCTTCTCGCTTTGCTTTTTGTCTAAGTCTGGACAAGTAAGGCTTGAGCAAACTGGAGTCGTCGGGCAAATCGTTCAGATTCCCGTTAAAATCGGTCTCCTCTCCGGACTTCATGTTGGGACCGGATGAAGTTTCAACTTCCAGCCTAGTGCAGGACGCAGAGCTACTTGCTGAGAAAGTTAAACCTCACCAACTGTGCCAGCGCAAGGGTACTCAATTGGATATCAGCAATGCACACAAACCACCCCTACACCACCTTATCTCCTAAATGTGGATTACAAGTCACAGAGCTTTTGTCAACATGGCAAATTTTCAATGTTTGTTTCTCCCCTTTACCGGACCAACAATGGCGATTTCTGCGCACAGTTTGGTGAAATAGTAATTCGGGACATGAATTATAATAATTATAATAATTTAAATTCTGTTTGAATTCAGAATACATCTGACGTTTTACACATTTCATATATCTAAAGATGATAAACCATACCTTCCTTTTCAAGCAAGAAAACCATGACAGCATGACTCCATGAACAATTTCTGTGTTGAACGTTAAGACACATGCTCTGTGTAACGCAGGTGTTTGTCTGTTGCGGCATGAATGGCTTATAAAGGTACTTTGGGCTAAATCACACAAATCATTTGGAATTAATCATTCCAAATTGACTCATTTAAGGCACTTTGTTGTTTGGGTGAAAAATGTTGACAGCTTATTTTGTACATATTTGCCATTGAATTTGTATTTAGCGGAAGTTTTCAAAAGCAACTTTTGTACAAGCACGCTTAGGTAGGAAGTGCTTACTGCCTGTTAACTGGCAACCACAGCAAAGTAAGAGGAAGTCATCTATTCTACAAGTACTAAACGTTTATTCAGCTCAGTTCAGTTTGTCATATGCATAAGTGCAATGAAATGCATATTCACATGTATTCCCCTAATACAAAGAAAAAAGCCATTATGTAAACACCGAAAACATAAACACAGAAAAACAGCAGCAGCAGCAACAACAACGTTAAATAACATACATCTCAGAAAAAGCACCCCTTCCGTGTGAGCCAGTGGCAGGGGTAGAGTTCAGTAATCTGACAGCTTGAGGGAAGAAACCATCTCTGAACTTGGACATACGTGCCTTTATGCTTCTATAACGCTCACCAGAGGGAAGGGGGGAGAAAAATGAGAAACCGGGATGACTGGTGTCCTTAGCCATACTTCCAGCATTCCTGAGGCAGCGAGTAGTACAAATGTCTGAAATAGAGGGGGGCCGTTCTCCAGTGATGGATGGGGCTGACCTGACCAGCCCCTGTACACCTGAAGAAGGCTCCACGGCCGAAACGTTGTGTTCTCTTTCTTCTTTTTTTCAGCATGGAATAAACCTAAAACTTGTTCCTTTGCAGCCCACGCATGCTGACGCAGCTACCCACCTGAACTACTACAGCCCCTGTAATGCCTTCCAGTCAGACAATGAGCTGCTGCCAAACCACACTGTAATACCCACATGTGAGCACACTCTGCATACATACTGTACATGTATGTGCATACAGTAAATGGAGAATTTAATTACAGTTATGATCTTTTTGACTGTTTAATGAACGAACCAAGCCATGTAAAAGAAATTAGAATGAAACTAAGGGTATCAGAAGGAGAGAAGGTCAGAGAGAGTTTTAAGATAGCAGTTCTGAGGAGCTGGATGGAACTCTTTATTTGGAAGCCACTTACCACTGCAAAGCTGACCTAAACTGTTGTTGAAGTGGTAAAACGGATGACAAAGTAAGACTCTAACCCCCTCCTCCATCTAGCGACTTAAGAGAATAAAAGCAGGCCAGGTGGAGAAAAACGTTGAGTTGCAGGGTGTACTCTTGGAACAAACTGTAACGCCCGTGCACATGAAATAAGTCGACTCCTGAGTGATTGTTTATGGCTCACAGAGGAAAGACAGAAAATGTTATCAACGACGTGATGCTTGCTTCTATTACAGTGATATTAGAGTAATAGCAATTTTCAATTATGCAAATGATTTTTTTTAACATTACTTAAAATCTTAAAGTTCATGACTATAGGAATAATGACATTCCAGCACAAACCCAATCAATGCCAGTTATACTGTATATTACATGGTCCCCATAATATATTTACAAATTGATTTAAACCACTAGTCTTTAGAACATTTTAAATGCATGAATATAAGTTTCCTTATGTGTCAGCTATTCAAAGTAAAATCTTGCCTCCTTGGTGCGGCTTTTCATAACTTGTTTGCAGTGAAGTACTGTAAAGCACTGAGAGAATCAGATTATCATGCTTCTTCCAGTACAAAGCCTTGTGATCCCCTTTATCAAATCAAGATCACACTGGTGTCTTAAAGTTTCTACTATTTTCCTACTGTGTTCTGAACATTAATGTAAAAAATACCAGTGCAGCTCCTAAATTGGAATGTGATTTTTCATTTTTGTCTAGGCATCTCTTCGTCATGGTGGAATAGTGAGATTTTCACACCTGTATTCCTGATCGTTGTGCCTCTGTAATTCGGTTTGCCCCTAACAGAATCAATACCTAGAGGAACCGGACTGTGCTTAGAATATCTTTGACTATTAAAGTGTTCTCGTCATGGAAAATGTGTTAAGAGTTTGAATGTGTCTCTAGTTACAATATGTTTTGCGTTAGTCAGGCGTGATGTCCATTCAGTACTAGAAAGCTTTCAAGTGATCTAACATTGTATACAAATACCCATTAAATATGATACCTGTATAAACTGTTTAACGTTTATTCCATGCATGCCGCAATAAAATACTGTATCAAACACAAGAAAAAAACTGCATCACAATTGTTTTATTGTAAACTTATCAGCTCCGCCTTTCAGAACATAGGGATTGGCAATGCAGCTGTAGCTGAACGAGTTGTCTCTTGAAAAAACAATAATTTCTTTTAGTTGTCCACTACATTATAAAATGATGATGAAGGTGTTAATTCTCACCTGTTCATTTCAAAACTGACACGGAAGCAGTAGCTGTGTTCACGTTGCTATTCCAGCGGTTTCCTAATATTTCGTGAGTCAAAGCCATTTCTGCCTCGTAAAAGAAGAGGAAATTGTCCTTTTCTATGTCTTTGTGATTGGAACACAGTCCCACATGAACACTTTCATATCGCACTTACTACAACCTCTAATGCTACTGCAGAGCTTCTTCTACTCCTGAGTCTCAGCACTGTCGACGTCACAGGCGGAAGGTCACGGAGCCGAAGAGCGGAAGTGAGAGTGGGAGCCTGTCCGCCATTGTGGGAGCAGGAGATAGACAGTACGGGAGGTTTTAGCAGGGCATCTGAAACAGTTGCAGCGTCCGTGTGTCTGAGGGAAAGACACCCCCGTCTCTGTCTGATATTTCCACAAAAAAAAATCGGAAAAACGTAAGACGATTTCTTTACAAATCCGAAAAGTACATAACACTCTGGGAAAGGGAGGAAAAAAAAACAAACAAACAGACCGCCTTTTCAAAACAGCTTGAATAACCGGAGAGAGAAAACAGCAGAGAAACGAGAAGGGGGAGACCGTGGACAGTATTAGTACCCAGCTCTGGTTCTTGGAGGATGTCTGCGACCACTGTCGATCAGGTAGAGTTTGATCTAGTGAAACAAAACCTTCGCCATCAGGGCCACGCCAGTGCTGCCGGCTGCTTATTATAGCCAGATAAGTCAAGCAGCAGACTGGGGTGGAAGACTCTTGTGTTGCAGTTGATGCACTGAGTAGGCCGAACTGAACCTCTCTGGTGGTGCACCTCGGGCACAAGTCCCCTGTACAGTGCGGCACAGGGATTTTTTTCTGGTTTTGTGTGGGGGCAGGGTACGCTTGACATCCGGTCAGCGGGGCCCTAGGAGTACAGAGCAAACCCAAGACCCGTGTGAACATTTTTTTTTTGATTGCTTTTGCATAGCTGTATCTCTGGAGAGGTAAGTATCCCAGCTAATGTGAGCTGCAGTACCAGCCTGAGCCGGGAGTTTCCATTGCCCCCTGATGGGAAAATTAAGCTGGGCTACTGTACAGCACAACTGCACAGTGCGTCCAACGCCTATCAGCCACGCTGTTTTTTGTGTGCTTATTTTATGAACTATGCAGTGTGTGAAATTCGTGCACTGACTTTCTTTCCTTTTTTCTCCCCCCGTCCTCTCTGTATGCCCACTTAATTTGGAATCAGAGACCTAAAGGACAAGGAAATAAAGGTAAGTTACATATGACTGTTTATGTATTGGGACAAAAAAAAATCCCTAGTACGAGACAGGGTGTTAACGGCCTTGCCCAAGACGGTGTATCGGGCTCTGCGTCTCCCGCAGACGCATAAAGCGAACAGTTCAGTGCAGAATCCAGGTTTCGTTACCTACGCCGAATATAAATAGAATTGGATGGCGAGTAAAAATCTCAGGCCTCCCACGTTTCCCATTTAAGGTGGGATAATGTGGCTACAATGACGTGTCGATGTGGCGATTTTCACAATGGCTTTTTTATCGTTTTCTGTAACTTGAGCCTCGGCTGCACTGCGATTTAACTGAAGGAGGACGAGGACCAAGCGTTCCAGTCACAGTGACAGGTGAAACTTCGCAACAAGGTGTCAGGTTCATTAGTCTTGAAAACAGTAGTGAAACAAACAGGTAGCAAACGTTTCACGTCTCTCTTACCTGCATTTATTGCAACCTTTATGTTTGGTCTTAGTATTATTTTAACGCCTTGAAGTGTTTTTTTGAGATCATGCAAACTTCTGGCTAATTTTAAATGAGGTTTCTGTTAGTGGTATTAGGTTAGAAGTGTGTGAGTCTAATTACAGCAGCACTAATTTCTTGTAAATTTCGTCTTAGTGGCTTAGTAGCCTATGTTTTGTTTTGTTTTCCAAGTATACTCTACTTCAATGGTAGAGGAAGCCTGCAAAGTTAATTCTTGTGGATGACATTGCCCCTGAGCAGTTATGACTTTTACACACGTTAATCACCGATTCTCAGGCATTGGATAAAACTCTGATAAGTCTTTCTAGAAAATTACTTGTTGAAGATTTAATTACATGTTCGGGATCTAAGGGATACTCAATATTTGACCAATTAAACTTGTTGGTTTTTATTTTTTGTGCACTTAAGAGTTTCGGCATTTACTAAAAACCCCGTTGTCCGCAGCATAAAATGTACAAATCAAATTAAAGAATACCTCAATATATTTAAAAAATGTTTAACCTACTCATTACTATGTCTGTTTGCTAGTTGTGTTTTATGAGACAGACTGTTACTGTGAAGTCTGCCCTCTCAGACGCTCCATCAAGTACAGCTGGATGCATTTTCTGTTTTGGTATTAAGCACCTGATTGAAGTTCAGATTTTTAAGTTAAAACCTTGTCTATTAGAGCCATGTCAGTTCCATCAGATTTGATTTTAATTTTCAGGTTGTGCATAAATGGAGACATTCGAGAGGTCCTATCTGCGTGGCCTCCTGTATTCTTTCATTACATTCATGTATTTAACTTATTTTAATCAAAATAGTTTTTCATGGATTGTTATTTTGTCAAAAACCTTTCATATCAATTGCATTCAACTAGAACGAAATTAAGACATTATAGGACGTTAAAATCGATATTTTTATTTGCACCTGTTGTCATAATAAAACTGTAGTAACACAAAATGGCCGCTCTGCCTGGTGCTTTGAACAGATGTTAAAAGAGTAATTTTGTCATGTCCATACCAAATGAATTCTTTTAAAAAGGCTTGGCGTTGTTGACATGTATACTTATGGAGCCGGTTAATACTAAAACAGATTCCTACAGTATATACCTGGCATTACCTTAGTAAATAGAATACTGCAAATGTCAGCTATATAAATAATTTTAGTGAAACATTATACATTTTTGCATCCCATCCAAAATACTTGCAGGTCAGCTCCTATGCCTTGGAATTTATGGAATCTGGTTCCATTGGGCTGTATGGAATCATCTGGAATGGCTGCATAGGATCCCTGGATCAATTTACAACCACCAAGCCAGCAAACATGACCTCCTCATTTTTTAGCCATTCCTATGAATCTCAGTGTTTAACAAATAACATCATAACATAACATCACTTTATTAGCCCTATACAATTTCTTGCATTAGGAATTATCTTTTCGCATACCCCAGCTTGCTCTCCATGAGACACACAGACAGGGAGAGAGCCTGGGGTCAGAGCAACCTTCCAGCTACAGGTGCAGATCCTTAGCCACGGAGCCACCCCTCCGCCCTAAATGCAACATTAAAAATGTGGGTTACCCCATATTATCTCTTTAAATGAGAATTTAATCTGGCATTGTGTAGGTTTTAGCCTGATTCAAGCTTTATTTAACCTAAGTGATTGTCTGTTTCAGGCCTCAATTGTCAGAGAAGTGCTTTCTTTTATAAGGGAAGAGGAGGAATATGGTGTGGGAGAGGAGCAGGCAGGAGAAAGTTCTGTCCTATGTAGACATGAAAGCTCTGGCCCTAGCTCATGAACGACACTGATGGCACACAAGGTTTTAACAGAGAAAAGGTTGACCAGGGCTTGGAGAAGGTATCGGGAGGAAGCTGGGACATGAGCCAAGCAAGACGCCGCCAGTGGCAAGCCTGCTTATTCAGGTTGATGCTCACTAAGCCAAGCAGCAGGAGAAGGAATCGGGAGCTTGGGTTAGAGCAGAAACGTGCAGAAAGCCTGGAATGTGGCACAGGAAGTACAAATCCCCCAAAAACAACAAGACAAAGTGAAGAAAATGAAGGGCAAGTATAGAAGTGCAAAATAAGCATTAAACAGGTTACATATATCTCCCAGAAGTGTGACCCCTAAACTACTAAAAGCCTGTCCACTGATGTGCTAGTATTTTATTCTTTGGTATTTTGGTGGTAAACTGAATTCGAATTCTAGTCTTTGTTATGGTGATGTCTATTTGGATTTATCAATAATCTGTTCTTGACCAATATGCTGGAAAGAAACACTTCAGTAGTTTGACATTATCGTGTAAGAAGAAAGAACCCTTATTTTATTTTAGCCCTCTTTTGTTCGTCTCATTTTTATAGGCTCAAATCACTGATAATGTCTGACTTGATCTAAAATATTTTAAGCAGTGGCTATGTTTTATGAGAGAGGCATTGTGTTCCTGTGAAGTCTGTACTCTCAGACACTCTCAAGTACAGCTGAACACATTTTCTGTGTTGCCATTAAGCACATTATTAAAGTTCATATTTTGAAGTTAAAATCTTGTCTATTAAATGCTTCGGACCTGTCAACACCATCAGATTTAATATTAATGTGTACTACCATTAACAAGATTTTAACATGCTCTTTATTCAGTATGAATGTTTTTACTTTTCTCATTTGAGAGGAAAACTATTTTTAAAACTAAGTTTTATGTTCTACAAAAATCAGTGCTGGTTGATGTGTTTTGGGGGAAACAAAATCCTCCCAGTCTTCTGTGTTTGTAGAACAATAAGATATTTTGAACTGAAAGTAAAACCCCTTTAACTAACCCCTATCTCAAAATTATAAAATCTGCATGCTTTTATGTTTTCTAAAAAAGATGACAACTGGTTGTCAGTTACATTATCGCTGTCTTATTTAACAATTAACAGGAAGTTGAAACTAAGCAGAAATTCTTGGTTCATAGTATGCTTTGCTTAAGTAGACTATACAATTTGATAACCTTTTCTATTTGATAAAAATATCCTCAAGTATATCAAGTGTCACAATAGGAATTGTAAATGTTTTCGAATTTCTGATCCTCAAGAGTTAAACAACCTGGCTGGTTAAACTTTATTTGAGATGTGTAAGAAAAATGCATCTAATGTCTTCCATTATCTATTTCATTGTTTATCACATTAGGCCAGTCTGTGTCTGGTCAATTCTAAAATGTAATACATGCAATTAAAAGCTGTGATTGTGAGTTAGGTAGTTCCCAGGTTTGTTTTTCTTCCAAGTTTATTCCATTGCAGATGTGATTATTTGCACTCTGCGTCCTCAATAATTACTGTTTAGTAGACTAACAAGGCTTATCATTGAGCAGTAAGTACACTTCAACCAACAGTATAACATTTAATAAGCTAGCAAATAACTGTCTCAGATATACTTGTTCTTACATCTGGAAATGTAGTTTCTCATTTAGTCTGCTATGCAGTGCGAGATGATTTATCTGATATTATTACAGTTATAAATACTGGAAAGTAAGTTTAGAAAATAATTTAGTTTAAACTTCAGCATTCAGGTGCTTCTATTTTTCATACAGAGTCTTTATTCAGTCCCTATTTTGTTTGTGTAAAAGGCAGATAGGTTGGAAGACATTGGTGGATTACTGTGCAATCCGTAAAAAAGTAAAACAAAATTCAGTCGTTTTATATTCACTTAAGTATATGCTATATCAGATTGTTTGGTGGCAAATAAATGTCCACATCTTTTTTGGTGGGACACTTTGTAACATTGTACAGTATGTGTCGGCTTGAAATTCATCTCCAAATAGTGTTGTAAGAGGTGATCAGGCTGCTGTTTTTTTGTGTACATTGACATTGCAGCTTGACAATGTTTATTTACGGAGGCAACGTTGAATTATATCGTGAGGGTTATAGGCTATCTCTATAAATGTGTTTTTAAAACCTGCCACTAACAGTCAATTCTGCTGTTACTTTAACAAGCAATTTGCAAATGTTTTTAAGTAACATAACATACTGTGGAACTGGAGGAAGGTCCGCCATATTTTCATTCTTCACTGTGGTCTGTGGATTATTAATGCCTCTGCTTCAGTCAAACATATAAAAGCACATTAAAACCTGTACAAATATGGATGTGGAAGGGGCCTCATTTGTGCTAGGGTACTTCAAAGTGATTTTCTTTTCCCTAGAAGCGCTGTACAACTGTGAATGGGTGTGTGTTGCCTAATTTGTCAATTTATGGTGCTGGTCCATTAAATGTTATTGAGTTTCCTAATATATTACTCTTTCCGTGTTTTAATATATGGGAAATTATCGTGTTGTCCCATTACTGTAGTAACAGTACTCAAATGTGTTCTGTCAACATACAGACATTTGTCTCCAGTTGTACAGCCTTAATGGAAAAAGAAGCACTTTGGTTTGCCATAGCACTCAATAAGGTGAATATCTCATAAATGGCTTTGGTAGTTATGTTGCCAATACCAGGATAAGGATTACGAAGAGTTGCCCCAGCCCCCCCCCAACACTACCATCGCCCCCTGAAAATGAGGTGCTTCCAAACCGTTGCGAACCTGATGAAAAAGGACAACGGCAGGATGTGTCAAGCAGCCTTTCCTTGGATGCTGACAGAGCCCTGGCATTTAAAAAGAAGAGCAGCCTTCACATAAAGGCTGTAAAAACATACAAAAACTGTAAAAACAAACAACATAGAGAAGACAAAGACAGTAACACCTCAAGGTGTGACTTAGTGAATCAACTGAATATGAATGAATACGAGATGGGCCTGCTAATGTTTTTATGTGCACAGAACTACTGTTGGACTTACTTTAGTGTGTTGCAGTGTTGGGAGAGGGGTGAGTGCTTATTTTTCATGTAGCAGGATTCTGTATCCCGTGCTCTTCATCTTAAAGTAGCAGGGCTCCTTGTCCATATCTAACAGAGGCTGGGGTTTCTTTTAGCAGTGTCAGTGATGGCCGTAGGGCCGCGCCATTTTTCTAACTGTTTCAGTGAGGGACAGGAGCCGTTCACAGAGGCGCACGGCCAGTACCTGACGTTCTTGTCTTGATTCTGAACTTTCTTTTTTTACCAGATTAAAGTGGGGGTACCCTCTTGACTCATATTAGCTACAAATTCTGATCCAAGTTTAGGCATTAAAACAATGTAAGTAAAAGTGCTTTTATTTGTTTCTTTAACACAGGATTAGACTAAGAGATTTTAAAAAATGTTTCTAATCAGAGCTTTTTTTAGTCAGTGGATGTTGTGTACTGTCCATATCAAACCCCAAAAGTCCATACAAAGCAGATCCTTTACTATTCATACTTTTTTGAATAATGGAGCTCAATATAATACCTATTATAATGTTAAAATAGTCTCATTATTGTTGTACTATTTAAAGTGTATTTTTTTCCATCTAATTGTATATCGATGTTTTATTTATCCAGTTTATGCTATGCATTTTGAAGCCGAGAAGCAGAAACTGTTTGCATAGAAAATAGATTTTTGATACAGAGCATTAAGGGTCTAAAAATACCAGCAAGGTGTAAGCAAATGTTTGTAAAGATTGACAGTCACTATGACATGTCATATCACTGACGCATGTTTTGTACTGCAGTTTTAGGAAGTTATGAAGATTTAGGTTTTCTAATGCTGTTTTGATAAGACAAGAGGTTTTAACACGTGGATTCTATTTTTTTGTCACGTTTAAAGGCCAAAGTGGTGTTAACATGTTTCATTTTTTGTGTGGTATGGGACAGTAGCTATGCAAGGCAGTGGCTTATGTGGTGTGTTTTCCATTGATGTTAAATGTTTCTGTTAAGTGAAGCTGCCTCAAGTATTTATAAGGAAAGAAGAACTTTGACTTCAGTCTTGATATTTATCTCCATGTTTAAAAGAAATATAATGTCTGGTACTTAAGTGTTATTACCTCTTTGAAGGAGGACTGTGTCAGCAGTGGTAGATGGTGAGTGCTAGGTGAGGCGTCTTCTTGAATGTCCTTTTTGTTGGGTCACAACAGAGCACACCTGAGAAAGAGACAGGTGAGTGCAGGTAGATAGCACCCAGGTTTAATTCCTAGGGCAAGGGAGCTCTTCAATATGCTGCTCGCTCAGTTAGAAAAGGGAGATGCAAAAAAATAAATAAGGAGCTCCATCTCCACTGCAAAGTAAGAAAAGGCACTTTTTCGGCTGTGGAGCCTTCTTATACAATAAGTAGTGTACGGAAGATGAAGTAGGAGGAGGTGAAAAGGAAATAAAGAGTTGGAAATCTGGTCAACAAATTCCAGTGGAAGTGTTGAAAACTGCAATCTAAGCAAATCAAAAGAGTTACAAATGTTACATGTTAAATGTTTTTTCTGCACACTAAGTATTCAGAATATAGGTGTAGAACTGTCATTCAAACCACATATTGATTCAGATGCGAAGATTCGGGAAAGTCTTATTCAAATAACGTAGAATAAACTGTACAACATTTCCGGTTTTTGTTACACACCCTCTTTTGCAGAAGTGTAGGTAGACCTCTTTGAGTCTTTCATCTCTTAACACATTGCAGAGCAGGTCATCGGAGGAGAGGAACACCCCCCACCAGTGGCGCCGTGTGCCTGCAAGGGCTGGGAAAGCCACAGGGGATCCCGTGTCTCTGAGGGCTGGGAGAGTTTTGGCCCGCTAACCCCACTCCGTGCCCAGTGGGGCTGGTCCAGTCGTGCGCTGCCGCTTGCGGAGTCGTGGTCACAGTCGGCCAGTGACACCCCAGGCTCCCGGCCCTGATCGCAGAGCTCAGCCTGCACTTGCACAGAGCAGGGTATCCCCCTCGTGTGCATTATTAATGGATTGCTATGGCATGAACATTATTCTAAGTCCTTTCCCTTGCCTGTCCTTATGCATGAATGCCATTCTGGCAGGAAACTTAGATCCTTTCATGTCTATATGCCATCTCTTGCAAAGCAGTCATGGTGTGAAGATGACGCTGGCTCTCCTTTTAGACATTACAAAAACGTCTACAACAGTGAAACGCTTGATATTTTTAAAATCTGCTTTGAAGGAGTCTTCGGTTATCTGGTGTGTTGAATAAAGTAGTTTTGAATTTGTCACTGTCACATAGTATGTGTATACAAAACAGTGGCCATCTCTTACAAATGAGGTAGCTGTTGAGTGCTCCTTCCTGTAGTGTTAGGCATTTGCTAATCCTTAGATTCCTGGGGGGCAAAGATTTACTGTGTAGACAAAGAATGGCTGAGAGTCCTGAACTTGCAGAACTGTGTGTAGTTTGGGGATCTCAAGGAAATTTCAAGCATCGCAAAAGCTATGTTACAACGCTTAGATGATAACACCAATGTTCATTTTGTGTTTAATGTAATTTGGTGTGCAGTTAGTACAGCATCTGCAGTGTTGCAGGGAGGTCTTCACTGCCTCTCCTTGCCAACATGTAGTCGTGTCACAAGTAGAACAGGTGATCGTAACAATTCATGCTTGATCAAAAGAGCTCATTCTAAACTTTAGTTATTTCAATTTCTGTTTCTGATTATGCATTGAAATCATACCCTTCAGCGAATTTTTTACCTTATGGACTGGAATTGCTACAGATTATTCTAGAATAAGAATCAATTTAAGAAAGTTTTTCGTAAATGAAATGCAGTCAAAGGAACTATTTTTCCATTACTGCTTAAAAACAAATCTTTGTTAGTCAATGAATATCATTTTAATGGAAGTGTATGGCGTAGTGAAAAGGCCATCCTGTGTACCATATAATTCAATTTTTAAGATTTCTGAGACTTTATATGTGCTAGAAATCATAGTAGAAACATGGGTTTTCTTTAATTTGTCCATTTTATCAGGATTACATTTAATAGCATGTGTTCAGAGTACAATGTCAGAAGAAAAGTTCAGCTTGATGTATTTTTCAATTTATTGCATCTCATAAATATAGTTATTCAAATTAATTTCACAATAAAGAGAAAAGGGAAATTCAAAGACAATGAAAAATAAAAATAATGGTAGTTCATGTAAACTGTTTCATAGGCCATGTCTTGGTATTAATCAAGAAGACTTTTGCATAATTTGACTTTACAAGATTAATTCTCTACACTGCATTTTAACCTTATTTGTTCTTGCAGGAGTTCAGCGCCCCCCCCCCAATAAAACAAAAAAAAGTTCAACATCTACTGTATATGCATCAAAACGGACCTTTTATTTATTTAATTTGGATCAAATCAGCACTATGGGCCGTTTTAAATTGATTATGGACATGACACTTGAAGGCTCATATTATAGGAGATCTTGAACATAACCTCCCCACATAACGTACATAATATGTTTGCCATGTGTCTGTGCTGACTTGTTGCACTCAAAATACCACACTACGAGTCCAAGTCACCATTTCATTCAGACTTGAAATTATTTATCACTATCCTAAGAACACAGAATGTATAAGTAGACTTGAATTGCATCTCCTTCAGATATGCCTTTTCTCATATCCAACAGGCAGGAGGCAGGTTTGTTTTGGCAAATATTAACATGTCATTTTCTGTGCTGACTTTCTGTACTGCTCTTAAAATTCAATTTCTTGCAAAAATACAGTTCTGGCCAGACGTTTGGCTTGTTTCATTTGAAATATAACCTGACCTTACATTAATTAATCTTAATTAATTAACGATTAATCTTCTATTCAGTTTTTTTCTTAATGTTATGGCAAATGTCTTTTTCACATGACTAAAAAGATTCCGAAGGTGTCATGAATATTTTGCTTAATACTTTATATTTCCTCCCTTTACTTTTTTGCCTCTCCATTGTCTTCAGTGACTGGTGCATTCTTGAAGAAATTTAATAGCACGTCTAAAACAAATGTAACACATTTATAGAATATTTTATTATTCTTTTTCTCTGTAATCCCATGTCCACAGCAGGGTTAGGCTCACAACTTTGTGTTGGTCTGTCAGAATTACTTTAGTTATTTTCTAGTTTGGAATCTCAATGTATTTGAACTGTGTAACAGTATATCTTGGTTTATTTTGTTTGAAAAAGACAGATTAAATTAACAAAATTGCAAGTTAACTTAAGCATACAACTGTAATCGGTAAAATGACAGTCAAAACTTTATTACATGATTCTAATCTGTTTTCTCTTCAATTGTAATTTTCATAGACAGTATCCGAAATTTACAGTTCAGCATTCTTCTATTTGTTTGGGATACAGAAGTGTATTGTCTATATTAGTTTTATTGTTTAGTATTGTTGATTTGCAATTTTGTTTAATTCAATGTTGACATAACAAGCATGAAGAATACTAAAGAATGCTTATTTATTTAAAGATGTAATGAAGATGCATATCTTATAAGCTCTGGCGGAAATGGCTATTTCTTTTTTTGATTTGCATTTTAATTTTGGGAGCAAATGGGTACTGATAGTTACACATGCCTACAGCAACACTATCAGTAAGTTATAATTTGTTGCATTTATATAATGTTTTCTATTCCAAAGGATCCCAAAATGTTTTATGCACGGCGGAGAGTAACCCTGCCACAGTGGTATTTTTGCAGGATGCTGTCATTGACTTTAACAGAGTACTTCTGGATCTTTAATGACCAAATGGTCAGGACCATAGTCCTGGACATGAGGACATGAGTCCTTGGCTTATGTCTCATCTCATTTCTTATTATATAGGACAGTGTCCTCAGTTGAGATAATAGTGCATTGGCTTTAGAAGTCTGGTCCAAAGACAAGAGCACCACCTACTGGTCTACCACCACCATTCCAGTACTGATCAAGCTTTACATACTGTAGCTCCTTAAATCTGACGAGATCAGGTTCAAAGGTGGTAATACAGCTAACTGGAGAATTTTAAGCAGCACTTAATGTTTTTTGATGCTTACTTTTAAGTAAATTTTTTAATAGTTTGTGTGTTCTCTTGTTTATAAAATGTCAGTTTTCTGGCATGTCTGCTGTATAAGGTCTTTGGTTCACTCTTATCCGTTTATGATTATTGTATAAACATTTCCTGAAAGAGTCCTCATTTTCATCAAGATTAATCCAAAGTCTAATGGCATCAGAGCCAGAAGCCTAATAAGTTCAACCTCTTAACATAAATCCTTTGACTGAAACATTACAATCACAGTTAAACCTATCAAGGTATTACAGAAGTTGTTACCATAGTTAATCAATTATGATTTGTATTGAAACTGACAGTTAAATGATGGAGGGTTTGTGCTGGATAGAACATGACAATTCGCTACGCTCTTTAGTGTTTTTACTGTTTTTATTTTTGATGTCATGAGTTTGAGCAGTGTATAATAGAATATCCTGTAGATATTTGCATTTTTTTAGCTTTGTAAGTGAACATAACTTTGGCAAACCTATGAGGTAACTCATCAAGTTCAGTAATAGGTTTATTCCACGCTGAAAAGAGAAGAAAGAAAACAACGTTTTGGCCGTGGAGCCTTCTTCCGAAAACGTTGTTTTCTTTCTTCTCTTTTCAGCATGGAATAAACCTATAACTTGTTCCTTTGCAGCCTACGCATGCTGACGCAACTACCCAACTGCACTACTACAGGTTCAGTAATAGTTCCATAAAATGTATTTTTTGCCTGTGATCTGAGTCTTTAAGGGGCACCTTATGTACAGTACCTTTCCAAAGCAGTTATATATATTACATAATTCATATTTTAAGCTTAAGTGATCTTTTTCATGCTTATGTATAATGTTTCTTCCCTTTTTTCTATTATAGTGCAGAACGGTTCAATGCATCAGAAAGATGCTGTAAATGATGATGACTTTGAGCCTTATCTAAGCAGCCAGACAAATCAGGTGAGTTCGAGTTCTTCTTGTATTGAATATTTAATTTTTAAAATTTAAAACGGAGGACGAGAAGAGGTAGTGTAAAGCAGTGTTATAAGCAGTGTTCTAAGGAGCCTTTTTTACCACATTTTGTTGCTTAAGCTTGGAATCATGACCCTTTCAAATGGGGCTTTATATTCAGAATCTACACAGTTGACTTCAAGCTGATAGCTTAAAAGCTAAAAATGCTGATAATAAGTAAAAAAGTTAGTTTCACAAAACTAGTGTCATTGTTTCTGTTTCCGTGTTATGACTTAATAGTAAATGTATATGTTGGATTTCATGCCACAGCTGTTAGGGAAGTATGACAAGCGAACAATGAAGATTCCAGAATAAGTCTAAAGTGACTGAGAAGGTTACAGGAACAATTCAAAGTTGCTGGTGATCCCTCCAAGTCTCTTATGACTCAAGTGCTTTAACACCAGCTGACAGGCTTGCAGTCTCTGTGTCATAGAGGGTATAATATGCGTCAGAATGAAAAACCTACAAGGATTATGGTTAAGGATTTGTTGCAATTACTGAAAGAAACGTCCACCGTGACCTGTAGCTCCTTCACTTGGGTAGACTATCCTCATATTCAGTTTATTTTATAAGCCTCTAGTGTGTCATTATGTAAAGTAATTAGTACTTTAAAACAGAACATTTGGAAGACTGTGTAAAGGGTTAAACCAAGTTAAATAGAAAAGAGACATGTTTGTGTTTCATGTAATTGAGAGACATGGTGTAGATGAGAGCAATTCACCCATACTCGCATTCCAGAGTACTAAAGGAGTTTAGTACCATATGTGCGTGTACATTGGAATTGTTCTTCACGCTGATCTCTTGGGACACACACAGTACAACACCGCGCAATGTAGACAGTACTTTTCAAACATAATAAATGATAACAGGAATAATGCATATGTTGTGGGGCGGTACAGTAGGGTTCTTGTTCTGTTCTTGAGTCTAGTGGTCTGTGCTTCAAAAGTGTGGTACCGCTTGCCAGAGCGTGGGGGGGGCAAGTTGTGGCCGGGCTGGCTGGGATCCTGATTGATGGATTGGGCTTTACCTCAACAGCGGATGGTGTATATCTCACCAGACTGACTGATGATAGACGAGTTGATCTTAACAGTGGAAGATGAATTAAAGTGACTTAAGTGCTCTGAGGGATGAACACCTGAACGGTGAACTATGCAGGATTCTCTGAAAGAGTTCGTCTTGGAGCCTGGAGGGGTTCTGTCCACAAGGCACAGTGACGGACCACTCCGTCATGCTGACGCGCTGACTTTAAGCTGCCTTGGGCTAGTGTTCAACCAAGGGTCCTCTCACCTGTCTGTCAAAGAAATACAGCAATTCGAAGACCGTCAAAGCATCACATCCCGAACACTATCCCTGATGCTTGAGAAAACTTGACAAAGAAGGAATTCCTGGCAGTAGGTCAAAGGCACACATTAGCGATTACTCTGCAGAGCTCCACAAAATGCAAGATACACTGTCAAGAAAACATTTGGTTTGGGGAATTTCTGGGTTTACTCAGGTCATTGCCTTTGTTTCAAATATACAAAGTTGTTAGATGGAATAATGCATTTCATTCTGTGAGTGGAAAGTCCTGATTTGCTGAATGACGTACCAGTTGGAAAGGCGCAGAGTATTCACAAAGTATTGTCAGTTTCTTTTTTTTTAAAAAACGTATTAAAGTTGGTAATAAGGTGCCTTATAATAAACATGAATATCATACTGCGTGTTCCCTTTTGTGTAAGTAAGTTATGTTTTTGAATGTTCAGGTAAAATTGAGTAAATATTGCTGTTGGTGTTACTTCGATGAAAAGAGGAGGCATGAATTAGTAACCTAAAGAGTGTGTTTGGAATGCTGATTTATTTCAGTGGCGTGTACGTCATTGTCTTGACTGTAATCAGGAACCTTGAGGACATAGCTGTCATTTCTCTTTGTGGTGAGGAACATAGTGCCTGCTTATTCTGAGCAATAGAAGATGCTCAATGATGAGTTTGTATTTAAATGATGCAATAGAAATAGATATAATTTTTTACTGTAGGTCTTGTAGGTTTTCCAGTTATTTCTCTGCTGGAAGTTCCCATATTGGAAGATGCCGGATTTCATTCTTGGCTAAAATGTGAAAACGTGTAATTGTGCTTCTCTTTTTCCTTCGCACAGAGTAACAGCTACCCACCAATGTCGGACCCTTACATGCCTAGTTATTATGCTCCATCCATTGGATTCCCTTACTCCCTTGGTGAAGCAGCCTGGTCAACAGCAGGAGACCCTCCTATGCCCTATTTGACAACTTATGGACAGATGAGCAATGGTGAGCACCATTTCATCCCTGATGGAGTGTTCAGCCAGCCAGGGGCCTTAGGAAATACACCACCTTTCCTCAGCCAGCATGGCTTCAACTTCTTTCCCGGGAATGCAGACTTTTCCACCTGGGGGACGAGTGGGTCTCAGGGACAGTCAACACAGAGCTCAGCCTACAGCAGCAGTTACGGCTACCCTCCTAGTTCCTTGGGTCGGGCCATAGCAGACGGACAGGCAGGCTTTGGCAGCGACACTCAGCTCAGCAAAGTGCCGGGCCTCAGTAGTATTGAGCAGGGAATGGCTGGGCTCAAGCTTGGTGCTGACATGGCGGCGGTGACCAAAACAGTAGGCTCCGCGCTGGGAGGGGCAGCAGGCATGAGCAGCATGGCAGCCAACAGCGTGCCGCCTGTCAGCTCCTCTGCTCCCAAGCCTACCTCTTGGGCAGCCATTGCCAGGAAGCCTGCGAAACCCCAGCCCAAGCTCAAGCCCAAAGCCAACATGGGCATGGGCGTTGGGGCTGCTGTACCCCCTCCTCCTATAAAGCACAACATGAATATTGGCACTTGGGATGACAAAGGGTCGATCGGGAAGCCACCTTTGGCACAACAAGTCCTGCCCCCCCAGCCACTGGTGCAGCAGCAGCTCTTGGCACAGCCCCAGCCCTTGATGCAGAGCCAGTTGCCTCCTCAGCCCCAGCACCAGCACCAGCACCAGCAGCTGCATTTGCAGTCGGCTCAGCCGCCTCAACAGCTGCCCCCCGGCCCCCCCCACCCACACCAGCAGCAGCAGCTCCCTCTCCAGCAGGGGGGGCAGCAGCAGCAGCAGCAGCAGCAGCAGCCGCCACCTCCCCTGCCTCCCCAGCAGCAGCCTCCCCAGCAGCAGCCCCCGCCGCCCCAGAACCGCTGGGTGGCGCCTCGCAACCGGGGCGCCGCCTTCAACCAGAGCAGCGGGGCGGAGAGCTTTGCCATGGGGGTCGGGGCCCCCCTCAGCGCCCCCCCCGCCTCCGGGGAGGTGCACCCCGTGCTGGAGAAACTCAAGGCCCTCAACAACTACAACCCCAAAGACTTTGACTGGAATGTGAAGAACGGCCGGGTGTTCATCATCAAGAGCTACTCTGAGGACGACATCCACCGCTCCATCAAGTACTCCATATGGTGCAGCACGGAGCACGGAAACAAGCGGCTGGACGCCGCCTACCGCTCGCTCAACGCCAAGGGCCCCCTGTACCTGCTCTTCAGCGTCAACGGCAGCGGACACTTTTGCGGCGTGGCGGAAATGAAGTCGGTGGTGGACTACAACGCCTACGCCGGCGTCTGGTCTCAGGACAAGTGGAAGGGCAAGTTCGAGGTTAAGTGGGTCTTTGTAAAAGACGTTCCCAACAACCAGCTGCGACACATCCGCTTAGAAAACAATGACAACAAACCGGTCACCAACTCCAGGGACACGCAGGAAGTGCCTCTAGAAAAGGCTAAGCAAGTGCTTAAAATTATCGCTACTTTCAAGCATACCACCTCAATCTTTGATGACTTTGCACATTATGAAAAGCGTCAGGAGGAGGAGGAAGCCATGCGTAGGGTAAGCCTTGAAACTTTTATAAAAATCTCAAAAGAATTGTGAGGTTGGCAGTGCATAACGGGGTTTGTCTGCTCCGCTGTTGCAGCTGAATTGTATAGATGATGTTTTAGATAACATTTAACCTCAATTCAGGTTTTTTCCACTAAATTTGGTATGACACCTCTTCTTGATTATCTAGTGCAAGATCAGGAGTGTGCATCTTCATTTCGCAAGAAGCAGTGGGTCGACTTTTTTGTTCTGCCTCCGTTCGTAATTTATTTGGAATCTAGTTTAACGCCTTTTCCAGTTCTTAAGGCGTACCTGAAATGTTTGCTGGACTGTGACCTTTGAGTGCTGTAGATGTCCGGCCTGGTATTAGATATTTGCAGTGTGATATTTACTCCCATCACGTATTCACAAAACCTTCTTATCGATATCTTACCCATTCTCATAACTGTGCTCCAAATAACATTATTCAGCTCTATGAAATGTACAGTGGTTCATTACAGCCCCCAGCTGTTTAATTCCACCTACTTAATTCTTCAAGTAGCCCTTCTCAAAGTCATTTTACTTCTCAAAGACTGCAAGAGATTTGCGGTCATTTCATTTGAAGAATGGCTACTTTTTTTTTGGTGACTTTTTTAATGCAAGTTTAATGACTGTTACGTTTTTTTTAGTGCACAATGCCAAGGCAGTACTGAGAGGGTAAATGGAAAAACAGCTTACTCAGAGAAGGTGGAAAAACTTCAAGAAATAAGAAAACTAGTTGGTCACATCTTAAAGTAACCTTCTGGTTCAGGAACCAGGGAGCTTATTTCCTCTGCTGTCTTTGAGAAATGCAAAAGGCAGTTTTAATTGCTCATTTGAAGTTACCGAAGTAGAAAAGTGCTGTAGAAGTCCGTTAACGTTTGGTTTTTCTTATCTCTACTTTTCATTCAAGTGACCTGTAAATGTATGATGTCCATGATATCAGTAATTCAACAGTGAGAATGTGAATGTAAGCGTCTTGTTCTTGTAGAAATGCCATGTCAGAGGCATTAGGTTGTATACTTTGTGTTTCCCAAACAAAGGTTTTACCTGTGGTTTGAATTTCCGCCTCCATAGTCTGTCACTTAGTCAATTCTAAAGGCCCTACCTTCATAATTTTATGGTGTTTTACAGCACCAACACACAGGCTGGCTGCCTTTTTTGCATAAGATGCAATCCTCATAACTTAGTATTGTCAGCCTTGGTATTTTGACCTAACCAAATGAGCAACCCAACAAAAAGATTTATTTTGAAATCATTTTTTGACGCACTGTCTACCAAATCGCTTGCGGTAGCAGTCATGTCATTGTTCTTTGTGAACTCCTGGACTGCCTCTTGCAGCGATATAGCTGCCTTGTGTCAGGTTACGAATTACTCTCCCTGAGAAATCCCACTCTCATGGACAGAGTGATGACAGAATGCATCTTTACCGTGTTATTTGTTATATTAAATGACGTGTATAAGTGCTGCATCTATAGAGTTACACAATTATTAAGCTTCACAGTTATGGCTCTTCTGTCAGCATGCACACGTACATACAGTCATGTGTAGTATAGAGGAGGGTGGGGGTAGATTGTGTTATAGTATGTCTCCCATCTATTTCTGCCCTTTCTAACTGCAGGATCAGCTCCTATGTAACGCATCCTGGCGAGGAAAACCTTTTTATCGGTGCAAAGCCTTTTGCAAATTAGCATTTTTCGTTTGTCTCCTGCAGCCACTGTTGAGCTTGACCATTAAATTTCATGTTGGATTCAAGAACAAAAGTAATTTCCTTCATGTTTTGTCTGAAGAATGCTTTTCAGAGCTATATGAATAGATCTAATTGAAGTGTGACGGACAATTTTAAAATGCCCCATCTGGCCTTGTTTTTGTTTTTGAAAATGGTTTTCTTACGCTTCTGTGAGCTGTTTGTGAAGAAAAATGTGAGCAGTGTTAAAATCGCATTCAAGGGCAAAACATTGCATTTAGTTTTTGTTTTATTGTGATACGAAGCTCAAGTTACTTTGCTATAAGCAAAAATGCAATGATTGCTCAGAATTGCTCATTGAGCGTCCTTCGCTTCTGTGTAAGGCATACGTAAGGTGCTTTGTCAAACATCTGTGGCTTTTGTAGAGATCGTCCAGACAGAGACAGTGCTGCCCCCAAGTTATTTTCACCTAGGAGATGAGACTGCCTTAGTCCAATCAGAAACACATTAAGTATAGGAGCTGGATAGTCAAAAGGCATAGGAAAATGGATAGTCTGAAGAAGGATGCAGTGAGTTTTCCAATTTGCACATTAGGTTATGTGCATTTCTTGATGGTAGTGCTAATGTTCTTAATTTTCACCTCTATCACCTTTCCTTTATTCTGTATTCAGGACACAACTGTTCATGTATTCAGTCTTTATTTTTGTACACGCGGGAGTCAGGGGGGGTGGGGGCTGTGAAATTTGTCATCGTGGAGGTTACACTTGAAGATGAAGGTCTGAGTGATTAAAGGCATTTGTGCTTATGCTTTGTGCAGTTTAGTTACAGTTTTCGTTCTTGTACTGGTAATTATTGTGCTAGAATTTGATGGGTAGCTGTCTCCTTATCAAGCTGCATTGTATTTTTGAATCGTTTAGCAGTTATAAACCCATTCTTCTGCTCTATGTACCAGTAATGTGGGTCGGTATCCAATTGACATGCATAGGCGCAGCTTTTCTGCTTTAAGATCCACCATCACTCATTGGACTGTGGTGCTTCATGTTACCAAGATAATCAGTTACAGTTTGGAGGTCACTTTGAGCTGTCTGGTTTTACTCACTGATCACTTTTGCTTTTTGTTGCATTCGTGATATTTTGAACTTATTATCTCTTTTTGTATTTCAAAATCATTTTCAGTAGCTTCGTGTCTTCTATCATGGTTCAGAAATATTGCTGAGCAAATAACAGTGCTCTTTTCTTTTGGATTGGACCCTGTTAAACACCGTAAAGATGTTCAATGACCTGTGTAATTCATCGAAAAGGTGGAGTGATGTTTGTCCAGGTAACTAAATGTTTGCTCCAGATACACATTCAATAAGGCCGAGACCGTTTTCCCTTCGCACTTGTAAAGCTCAGAATATTTTTTTTATCAATAGAATACATTTTCATCAGTCACAAATTTATCCATCCATCAGAAAGCTGTTTAATCCTGGTTTAGGGATTCAGCAATGCTGAAAGCTGGTAGCCTATCTTGTTCAGTTCTTTAAATTGTGTGCTTACACAATAACCATAAAAATAGGTTTTGTATAATTCAGTTGGGATGTGCTTGATTACTTTCCAGTCGGTTAACAAATTAAAAATGCCCTATAATTTTGCTGTTTATTGCTTTTCAAATTTTAAGAGTTTACATAAACGTCCATCTTGCTCTATTTTACTTTGACATTTCTCATATGGAATCCGTTTTTATTAGGAAAACGTTAGGATCGTGGGGGAGTCGGAGACTGTCCTGACCCGCAGATTATTTTTTTGAATGATTTTCAGGAATCCAAAGCTTTTGTTATACAGGTGGACAGTCTCAGCTCCAGCAAGACTATGGTACAGCAGGTATGGGGTTAGTTGCATCAGATTCTGAAATATTTGATTTGTTTTTTGTTCAAGAGGAGGAATATAGGACCACCAGGTTTTTACTGTATTTATCTGTTTTATACTGTATATTAACAGCTATGCAGTAATTCACACAAAGCCACTTGCCGGTGTGACCTGGCCTTGTTAATATTCAGTATGATGCAAGCACATACATATTTGAAGAGGCCTGGTGGTTTTTCTGGCACCTGCAGGATAGTGAAGCAGTCTGAATCCCAGTAGGGTTGTTGGTTAGTCAGCTAAGCTGGTTTTGCTCTATTCTCTTTTACACTGACCCTTATGTACACTGAGCAGAACTAATACAATTGTTTGTTTTTCCTGCACATACCAAGAAAGATGAAATAAGGGGAAAGGCAGAGAAGCACTGGCATGGCCTGTCTGGGGTATTTGACACTTTTATGATTTATAAGTCTTGCATTTTGACAGGAGTCAAATAACATCCTCTGTGCACTAAAGAACGCTTGCGTTTAGGCCTAGATCGTGCAGTAAAATAGCAGCGTTTATCTGCCTATATTCTCTCTTGAAATACCTGGTCTCACTGAATTTGGCCCAGTCTCACACAGCTGACGTGGGTCAAAGTCTTTTCAACGAGACACTTAAACTGCATCTCTTTATTTTTGTTCTGTGTTTTCCCATCTGCCCCGTGACTCAGAGCGTGTCTCAGGTTTCATGGGGACCTCTGGATTCTTCTCCAGTGAGCCTGTGTTTAAAAATGCAGGGGTGATAAAGTCCCCAGAGAGCCAGTGTCCTCCTGAGTAGAAGATATTGTCTTCTCGTGAGTAACATGCAAGGCAGAGGAACACGTTTGCTGGATTATTTGTTATACTGTGCTCCACATGGTTTTGCTTGATTGTAAACGTTTTTAAAAATTCACTCTCCATACAAAAGGAAGCACCTTTTTGTTACTTCTTCAGAGCGCATGTTTTAGGCAGGAAACAAATCTGACTTATTTTTTTACTTCCTACTTGGTACCAGACCCTTTGTATTTTCAGCGGAGGCATTCTATTTTCCTCCTTATGTTGTTGTTGAATTTTGAATTCAACTTCGGCACTAAAAAAGTTTTACCTAACATGTCCAACACGTCACCTCAATATTCCCTTGCAACATGTTTTAGTTAGACATGCGGTAAAGTCTAGGATGTACCATGTTATTTTTGTTATGGTGTGTCATGCTCGCTTGAACTGCAGAGTGTTTTAGCATGCTGGACAAAATGTCTTAGGCTGGAAGACCTATATTGGGCAGCAGCCTCATTACAACTGCTACATACAAGAGCTTGTACTGTTGCCCCCTTGGACAGAAGAGGCCAATGACTAGTCTGTCACACTGTTGTCCACAGATGTGATGTGAGCAACCTCTCACAGACTTTCTAGGTTTGGTGGAGCCCTGGTGTAGATGATACGTTCTCCTTGAACCAGGCATCTGTAGAGGTGGATGTGATTTTGAAGCTGTTTGTCTTATCGGTGACACCAAAACCCACTGACTGGGTTCTGTGTTTACAGTCTGAGGAGATGTGGCTAGCTAGGAACCAGAGAGCACTTCTGGGTGTTCAAATGTTTTGACGAATATATTATTGTACAAGTTAGAAAATTTGGAATAGAAGTTACATAAAAGGCAATTTTATTGAGAGAACGGTAATGTTCAGTAAATACTGCAGACGGTCTGATCTACATGGAATAATGTTTTTAGAGCTGTTGTTAAGGTCTGTTCAATGTGCTGTTCTCATCATTGTCTGTGGTGGTCCTATTTAGAATTTAAAAGGACAAAAGAAAACTTTGTCACAGTAAAATCTTTTTGTTCAATTTAGCTAATTTACAATCCTTTAAAAAATGTTCATTGACATTATGGGGGATATCTCCAAAACTCTAGATGATGGTATATGGTATATGATGAAATACTTGGAGAAAATGTTGTGAAAACGTGTGTCTCTTGTTGTATTTAAGCAGCTCGCTGAGAAGTTTGCTCTTGGCTTGCACTTGGGTTTGTCTAGAAACATGAGTGATTGTCTTTTAAAAACTAGGAAGCCTGGAGTAAAAAAACAGATGTCAAAAACATCAGGCCTGTTAACAGAAACCCAAAGAGACTTCTCAAGCTTTTTATGTGGAAAATACAAACCAGTGTGTACAGTAGAAAAATACTTTATATAATAAGTCTGACTATATTGCATATGTGTATACTTAATACAGACATTTTTCTTGATGTTAGTTTTCAGTTTTGATATTTCACAAAGAATATTGAGGTGATGTGAAATATTAATGTCATTTTTTTTTCTTACTTTGCAGGAGAGGAATAGAAACAAACAGTAACCTTATGGAGATAGCCCTGCCAGAACTGCAACACTAATAACGTAGATCCTTAAATAATTGCCTAACTTCAGAGGAAGAGTGGGTTTTCTGCTGAAGACGATATCTCTGAACACCTAACACAACAGTGGACTCTGTATCAGTTTTTGGTGCATCTGCCCTCGTATTCCTGTCTCACAGAAAAGAAAAAAAAACACACTTGAACTGTATCTTTGTTAAGCACTTTCAATCCTTCTAAAGCTTCTACCAATCTCTGCTGTCCTCTGTTTCGTATTCTAGTAAATACAGAGACCTGACTTTAACTTTCTTTGAACTTTTGTTTGTTACTAACAAATTAACCAGTGTAGTTGGTTCCAATGATACAAGATTTCACGAAGCTTCAACTTTCCTATTTTGTGTTGGGTTTTTTTTCAAATTTGGAAGATTTTTAGCGCTTTCAGAAGAGATTAAATATATAAAAAATGACAAATTACATTTATCTAAATCTGTATTAAGCTGCCCAACACTTCAGTAAAATTTATGTTCCAAGGCAAAACTGTGTATATTTTTGCCAAATAAAATGCAGCCAGGAATAATCATGCGATTTGTTATAGACTGACCTTTCCCTTGTTTCAACATCTGTTTTGTGTACTAAAAGAAGATATTATTATGCAGCTTGGTGGATATCACCAGTTAATGCACATATTTGTTTTCCTGTAATAATGTAATACAAAAGTGCATTTGTCTAAGGAGAAATTTGTTTGATGCTACCAGTAATCAAACTATCCTGAACTTCGAAGTTAACGTACCTCAGTTTAAATCAATCTTTTTAAGACCTCTGTAACTGCATTTAAAATGTAAACTTCCTAGCTCTGGGGGGTTTGCCCAAAGGCAACTATCAAGGAAGTGACAATTTTCTCCTTTAGGTGATTCACTAGCTAAATAAACATAATACTTGTTTAGCGAACACATGCTTTGAGTTTTTACTGCTTTTGTTTTGGCATTTTGATTTTATTGTGTCAAGGTTGCAACTGGAGAAGTGGAAGTACAAAATATCCATTTGGTTGAAATTTCTATGTGAAACTGAAATTCAGACTGTACCTTTGTCTAATTCCCGTTGAGAAAATATGGCTTGGGTTTGGAGAATATGCTTGGGGCTGGTATGGACATTTTTCACTCTTCAGTTGACATTTTGCAAATCCCTCCAGTGCATCCTAGATGATCTCCTGAAGTCTGACATTTCTTTAAAATAAAATGGTTCTTTTGTCCCCATAATTGCTTCACAAACGTACTATTCAGAATGTGAGTCTTGCACTCCCTTTAGTCTCCTGTTTTACTTTTCAGGAGGTGTTGTTTCAACTTGTACTTTTGGGTCAGTGCAATGTTAAAATCAAGGTACTGACCTAAAACGGATAAAAGTTCATTGATCTGGGGCAAATACAAACACCTGCTTTTAATATGTTATAATGAGTTTGCTTAAACTCCCAGAAAAATTAACGTGAGCTCATTGTATAGTTCTGCTTCAGGTCCATGTGAACTTGTTTACTGTGCTTTCTCTTTTCAACGTTTGAACTGAAAACAAAGTAAGCACGTTTATTTTTGCCTTTCTTTACTGATCACCAGGCTTCTGTTGGTCGTTGGTGTTGAATACATTGAATAACATGATTTACAGAAGTTCATTTAACGTTTCGCACCAAAGGTTTAACTGTGACCCTTAGTGATTTCAAAGAACAGTTACGAAGGCGAGTAGGCCATTCGGCAGTATGTCTGTTTGATAGTAGGTAATTGATCCAAAGATCTCATCCAGCTGTTTCTTGAAAGAAGAACTTTGCAGAGCCTTCAACAACAATGCAGAGCCTTTTGTTCCACACTTCCACAATCCTTTTCGACAAAGAAATGCCTCCTCATATTTAAAGTATTATGGATTTTTGTCACGTGCCTCCATGAAACGGTAGATAGGGATTCCAGTTCTGCTTTCCTGCTCCTTTTATGGAAACTGAGGCCCATAGCCCTGGAACTATTGCACCTTGCCCAGCACATGGTGTGTCAACTCAGCTGCTCCTGCCGGTTAGAGTCCTCGTTAAGGTCAAGATGGCAATGAAAAATATTTCTTTGTATTCAAAAAATGTATGTGATTCACACGTTTTTGTGTCTCAATTGATTTGTGCTCCTGATGACGATCTTGGTCCTGATGGTCCTCAGCATAGCATGCTGCAAGATTCAATGTGTTCAAACATAGAAATCTGGAAAAAGGTTATACTGAAGAGCGAGAAGATAATTTACTGACACAAGGAGTTCCGTGTTGCTGGAACAACAACACACAGTTAAAGCCATAATATTTTGATGCGTCTTCAATGTTTTGTGTTGCATTTTTTGTTTAGTGCTTCTGATGTCCTTCTAAACCTTTATTCAAATTTTATGTATCTCCACACATCGCATCACTTTCAGTAACTGCTTATTCAGTTCAGGGTGGTGGGGATCCAGCACTGGGCACAAGGCAGGATGCACTCTGGGCAGACACCAGACCTTCTCATATAGAAACAAACACGCACACGGTCACTCCAGGGCCCACGTTTACAGACGCCAATTAACCTTAGTAGCCTGTCTCTGAACTGTGGTGGGAAACTGGAGCACATGCAAACTCCCTGCAGATAGGAATTGGATCCAAGGACCCAGTCCTGGGAGGCAGAAATGCTAACCACTGTGCTAACATATATACAGCTTTTTCTTCTTGAATCTCGTTTTAACAAAATTTCTAAATGAGCAGAGTGGCCTATAGGTCCAAAACCCAGAAGTGAAACCTAGGCCAAAAATAGCATAGCCTTAAATTTATGGCACTTTCATTCTTGAAGTTTCTCTTGAAAGAACAAAACTAAAAGATTTGCTGATCCATTTTGTTATAATCAGGGTTCTGTAAGTTGTCATCAACATGCCAGTGCATTGTCTCGGACTGGCCTGATGGTAATTATAGATACACACTCAACACAAGAAGATGCCAGATTATGCCATAATAATAATGTTGCTTTATTAGCCCTATACAATTTCTTGTATTAGGAATTCGTCTTTTCGCATACCCCAGCTAGCTCTCCATGAGACACAGACAGAGAAGCTTGGGGTCAGAGCGCAGGGTCAGCCATTGCACAGCACCCCTGGAGCAGTTGGGGTTAAGGGCCTTGTTCGGGGGCCCAAAGGAGTAGGATTCCTCTGCCAGCTGCAGGATTTGAACTGGCAACCTTCCAGTCACAGCCACAGAGCCACCGCTTCGCCCATAATTAAGTACAGGCACATAAACTAGCCCTCCCGCGTGGAATATAACTACGTGATTTGTGCTGTACTGGCTAGAAATTCTCCTAAAGCACATTTGAAAGCATTCATTTCATTTGTGCTTCCTGTGCTGTAGTTTTTTTCAGAACTGCCAGTCATCTGGATCATCTGTTTTTTGTCAGAGTGAGAAAATGAGAATCCTGAGTGACAGTGCTGTAGAGAAGAAACCTCAGACAGGTCACGTTCACATTACAAACACCAGTGTCTTGCTCTCCAGAACTGATGAATGTGGGAGACGTTAGAATTATGTCATTTCTTTAAATTTGCTTTCAATGCAAATAAAGGAAACTCTTCAAGTAGTTTATCTTTTCTTAAATGCTACTTGAGATGCTTCTTCTAGTGAACCGGTTTGAGCATGATGGGGAATTAGATCAAGTTACTTTAGTTATGTAGGAAAGTGCACAGGAATAAAAAGGCGTTTTGAAATGAAACTTTGGAACTTCCTGTGAAAATCTGACACTTTTAAGTTCAATAGTTTCTCAGCAATTTATGCTTTTACCCTTTGAATTCTTCTTTTGATGAACGTTTTGTTCAACAGGCATCCACTATCAAAATGTGTGCTGATTTAAATAGTGCTACATTTCAAAAATCTGTTTTTCTTATATCTGAAATTATGGAGGTAATGTACAAGCTCAGAGAAACATGTTTTGCCTAATGTTTGAATCTGGCTTCGAGTCTGGTTTTTACCTACTTAAAAGTCACAAACTGGGCGGAATGTTGCCTGTTGATCTGTTTTCTATGTTGTTTGCTCTACCTGTCTACTAAAAGGGGTATTTATGCACAAGTTGTCATTTAAAGTAAATTTTTGTGCAATAAGCTTAACTATATCTGAAGAGGAGTTTGTGTCCTGATTACTGTCAGCCTTTTATTTACTTTTTCTTCATTGTTTTAAATGATAAAAAAACAGTATAAAACTCCTGTATATATATACTATACTATATATCTAATTTATAGTTACTGCTATTTAAAGGCAATAACCAATGGCATTTTCTTGATCACTCTATATATGAGCTGTCGCTTTTATGTTTCACATTCATGCATATGTAGAGGTACGTGACTATTTTGATTGTCAATTCACAGATGTACGTGCACACAAGGTAAGAGTTTTTGTAAATGTGTTACATCTGGAATTTTGTTTAACATTCTTATTTATCCATATTAACTCTGTCAGTGTTGACGTTTTATTTTAGATAGAAACACAAGTCTGAATGATCTCCACACTAAATAAAGCCTTAGCTAAAATAAGATCCAGGAGGAATGTTTCTTCTCCATTCTGGTCACTGGCCACCAGAGGGCACTGTTATGCTGAACATATATACATGAATTTCATATTTTAATGAATTTGTGTGACTTTATTTGATATGAATGGGCCAGCCTGAAAATCCATATATTTTGTGAATCCCCTGTTAGCACAGCATAAACAATATGTCTGTTTTTCAAAGTCAGTCAAATAATTTGCATTAGCTATCACGTCTCAGGAATGCCGAGTACAAAGAAGCAACATTGACTTTGTTCATGATCACATAACACAAATCCAAAAACAGACACATGGGAAAGCTCACTAGTAGGCCTATACTATACTA